CAGGCCTGAGCCTTCCTGAGCCTCCTCAGTGTGCCCAGATCCATCCTGAGCCTCCTCAGTGTGCCCCAGATTCATCCTGAGCCTCCCCAGTGTGCCCCACATCCATCCTGAGCCTCCTCAGTGTGACCAGATCCATCCTGAGCCTCCTCAGTGTGACCAGATCCATCCTGAGCCTCCTCAGTGTGACCAGATTCATCCTGGGCCTCCTCAGTGTGCCCCAGATCCTTCCTGAGCCTCCTCAGTGTGACCAGATCCATCCTGAGCCTCCTCAGTGTCACCAGATCCTTCCTGAGCCTCCAAATGTGCCTCTGGATCCTTCCTGAGCCTCCTCAGTGTGACCAGATCCATCCTGAGCCTCCTCAGTGTCACCAGATCCTTCCTGAGCCTCCTCAGTGTGCCCCAGATTCATCCTGAGTGTCCCAAATGTGCCTCTGGATCCTTCCTGAGCCTCCTCAGTGTCACCAGATCCATCCTGAACCTCCCCAGTGTGCCCCAGATTCATCCTGAGCCTCCTCAGTGTGACCAGATCCTTCCTGAGCCTCCTCAGTGTGACCAGATCCATCCTGAGCCTCCTCAGTGTCACCAGATCCTTCCTGAGTGTCCCAAATGTGCCTCTGGATCCTTCCTGAGCCTCCCAGCTCTGCCTCAGATCCTTCCTGAGCCTCCAAAATGTGACCCAGGTCCTTCCTGAGCCTCCAAATGTGCCCCAGATCCTTCCTGAGCCCCCAGATGTCTCTGATTTCTGTCCCCAGGGGAGAGCAGGGAGAGCTTTGTGTGCTGTGAGAAGTGGGGAGGAGGCAGAGCCTGGGACGGGGCTGCCTTGGGGTCATACAAGAATTAATTATTATTAATATTATATAATAATTGTTACATATTTCTAGAATTGCTGAATGAGGTTTCCAGCCCTGGGAAAATGTCCTTTATTGGGCTCCTTGTGGTGCCTCTCCTCTGCAAGGAGCGAGCATTTCCGTGCATTTCCATGCATTTCTGTGCATTTCCATGCATTTCCATGCTGCATTTCTGTGCATTTCCATGCTGCATTTCCATGGCTGCATTTCCATGCTACATTTCCATGGCTGCATTTCCATGGCTGCATTTCCATGGCTGCATTTCTGTGCATTTCCATGGCTGCATTTCCGTGCATTTCCATGCTGCATTTCCATGGCTGCATTTCCATGGCTGCATTTCCATGGCTGCATTTCCGTGCATTTCCATGGCTGCATTTCCATGGCTGCATTTCCATGGCTGCATTTCCATGCTGCATTTCTGTGCATTTCCATGGCTGCATTTCCATGGCTGCATTTCCATGGCTGCAGCAAATCCCAACTTTTCTGCCTCTTCCCTTCCTTCTCCTGTCCCTTCTTCCCCTCACTCTCCTCTCCTGGCCCTGTTCATCTGCTGCTTCCAGGCAGAGCTCACCCCCAGTCCGGAGGGGAATCCCTGGGAAGGAGGGAGCTGTGAGCCCAGGGAGATCCCGGGAATCCCTGGGAAGGAGGGAGCTGTGAGCCCAGGCTGATCCCTGGAATCCCTGGGAAAGGTCAGAGCTGTGAGCCCCAGGCAGATCCCGGGAATCCCTGGGAAGGTGGGAGCTGTGAGCTCAGCAGATTCCTGGAATCCCTGGGGAATGTGGGAGCTGAGAGCCCCAGGGAGATCCCTGCCAAAACTGGAGCACTCCTGGGTGAAGCCAGGGATCAGGGAATGGATCCCAGCTGGGAACAGGGAATGGATCCCAGTTGGGATCAGGGAATGGATCCCAGCTGGGAACAGGGAATGGATCCCAGCTGGGAGCAGGGGGTGGATCCCAGTTGGGAACAGGGGATGGATCCCAGCTGGGAGCAGGGAATGGATCCCAGTGTGGGAGCAGGGAATGGATCCCAGCTGGGATCAGGGGATGGATCCCAGTGTGGGATCAGGGAATGGATCCCAGCTGGGATCAGGGAATGGATCCCAGTTGGGAGCAGGGGATGGATCCCAGTTGGGAGCAGGGGATGGATCCCAGCTGGGAGCAGGGGATGGATCCCAGCTGGGAGCAGGGAATGGATCCCAGCTGGGAGCAGGGGGTGGATCCCAATTGGGAACAGGGAATGGATCCCAGCTGGGAGCAGGGAATGGATCCCAGCTGGGAGCAGGGGGTGGATCCCAGCTGGGAACAGGGAATGGATCCCAGTTGGGAGCAGGGAATGGGGGTGGATCCCAGTTGGAGGGCACAGCCCCACAGGTGTTTGGTGTGTGAGGTCTGATCCTGAATTGGGCAGAGTTTTTCCCTGTCCAGCTGCAGTCCCTGTGCTGAACCCACCCTGCAGAGGGGTCAGGCTCGGGCTGGTGCTTTGGGTCGGGAATGTGGAGCTGGGAATGGATGAGCTGGGAATGGATGGGTCAGGAATGGTTTGGGTTGGGAATGGTTTGGGTCGGGAATGGTTTGGGTCGGGAATGTGGAGCTGGGAATGGATGGGTTGGGAATGGTTTGGGTCAGGAATGGTTTGGGAATGTTGAGCTGGGAATGGTTTGGGTCAGGAATGGATTGGGTCAGGAATGGTTTGGGTCGGGAATGTGGAGCTGGGAATGGTTTGGGTTGGGAGTGGTTTGGGTCAGGAATAGTTTGGGAATGTTGAACTGGGAAAGGTTTGGGTCAGGAATGTTGAGCTGGGAATGGATGGGTTGGGAATGGTTTGGGTCAGGAATGGTTTGGGAATGTTGAGCTGGGAATGGTTTGGGTCAGGAATGGTTTGGGTCAGGAATAGTTTGGGAATGTTGAGCTGGGAAAGGTTTGGGCTGGAGGAGCTCCAAGCCCATCCATTCCCACCCATCCATGGCAGGGCCACCTCCCGCTGTCCTGGGCTGCTCCAGGCCCCGGAGCCCAGCCTGGCCTGGGACACCTCCCTCCCTTCCCTGGCCTCTCTTGAAGGTCTGTGCTCTGAGGGTTTGCTTGTTTGGCAAATACCTGCCTCATCCTTGAGCTTCTGTGCAGGAGCTTTGGGATTTCTGGAAACTTCTGGATCTCTGGAGTTCCACATGGGAGAGGGAATGAATGGCTCAGTGCAGAGTTCCCTGTTCTGCCTCTGCTTGCACAATGTTCAGTCACTTCTTCATCTCTTTGAGTTTCTTAATACAAGTGTAGTGGCACTTAGGTTTTTGTTGATATAATAGAGCCTGCAAGCGCTGATTTATCAGGCAAATGTTGTGATTTGTGGGGGGTGTGTGTCTGGATATGCACATTTACTTTATTCATCTGTGTACACAAAAGATTGGCAACATCTGTTTTTGACAGCTTTTTTTTTTCCCCAATTATTTTCTGTTCCCCCCCTCAGTCCTCTTTGTTTCTTCACTTCCAAAGCACACCCAGGGTTTGTTTTTTTTGGTGTGGAAAAACCTTTTCTTTAATCACTCCTGCTTTTCAATTTAGCTTGAAAATACATTTTCACTCCAAGTGGAGAAGTTAATCTGAAATCAGAAAGGATTGTTTTCCTCTTCTCTTGCATGACTGAAAGGGAGGTGCCAGTTCTGCCACATGAAGTGTCCTGATGGCAGCTGATGAGTCTGATTTGATAACTGCAATTAATATTTGTTCACTAATGCCATTTTAAATAGAAAACAAGATTTGGGAGGGGGGAATGTCCATCTAACAGAGCTGATAGAGTTCAGATTCTTAATGTTTCTTAAAAAACACTGGTTTGCATCTTTAATGCAATTCTGTATCCAAATGCCAAGTGGAACAGTGAAAAATTCTGAGAGAATGTGCACTGAGCAGGCCAAATGCACTGGAAATGCTGTGTGCTCCCAGTTAATGGTCAGGAACTGGGAATGTGGAGTCCAGGCTCCCAGTTAATGGTCAGGAACTGGGAATGTGGAGTCCAGGCTCCCAGTTAATGGTCAGGAACAGGGAATCAGCCCAGCCTCCTCCTGATTTAAAATCAGGATTCAGAGTCTGATTAAATCCCATCCCTGCCCTGGTCTCATCCCTGCCCCAATTCCCCAATCCCTGCCCCAATTCCCCAATCCCTGCCCCAATTCCCCAATCCCATCCCTGCCCCAATCAGAATCCCTGCCCCAGTCCCATCCCTGCCCCATCAGGGGTGCTTGGTTGAGGGCTGGGATCTCTGGGAATGCAGAGCTGGGATCACTGGGAATGCAGGGCTGGGATCATTGGGAATGCAGAGCTGGGATCATTGGGAATGCAGGGCTGGGATCACTGGGAATGCAGGGCTGGGATCACTGGGAATGCAGGGCTGGGATCATTGGGAATGCAGGGCTGGAATCACTGGGAATGCAGAGCTGGGATCATTGGGAATGCAGGGCTGGGATCTCTGGGAATGCAGAGCTGGGATCTCTGGGAATGCAGAGCTGGGATCACTGGGAATGCAGGGCTGGGATCACTGGGAATGCAGGACTGAGATCACTGGGAATGCAGGGCTGGGATTATTGGGAATGGGATCATTGGGAATGCAGGGCTGGGATTATTGGGAATGCAGGGCTGGGATCTTTGGGAATGCAGGACTGAGATCACTGGGAATGCAGGGCTGGGATCATTGGGAATGGGATCATTAGGAATGGGATCTTTGGGAATGCAGGGCTGGGATCATTGGGAATGGGATCATTGGGAATGCAGGGCTGGGATCTCTGGGAATGCAGGGCTGGGATCACTGGGAATGCAGGGCTGGGATCTTTGGGAATGCAGGACTGGGATCATGGGGAATGGGATCATTGGGAATGCAGGGCTGGGATCATTTGGAATGGGATCTTTGGGAATGCAGGGCTGGGATCTTGGGGAATGCAGGGCTGGGATCACTGGGAATGCAGGGCTGGGATCACTGGGAATGCAGGGCTGGGATCACTGGGAATGCAGGGCTGGGATCATTGGGAATGCAGGGCTGGGATCTTGGGGAATGCAGGGCTGGGATCACTGGGAATGCAGGGCTGGGATCATTGGGAATGGGATCTTTGGGAATGCAGGGCTGTGCTGCCGGCTCTCACTGCCCTGCTGCTGTTTTTCCCTGTCCCAGATCTCCAGGAGAGCCGCTTCTCCCCGTGCCTGCCCTTGCTGCTGAGCCCGGCGCGGGCCGAGACGTTCCTGCAGGGATCCCAGATGGATTTCCTTCCCTTGAGGTGGGACGGGCTTTCTGGGCCCAGAAATTGGGATTTGGGTGTGTGTGGAGGGACAGAACCTCGGGATTTTGCCTTTGGAAGAGTCTGAGCAAGGGAAAACCAGGAGCAGGCTTTTCTGAGCTTGTCATGCTGAGGTGCCCCAGGAAAACGGGAAAATGAGGAGCTCCACCCTCTTCACCATCTCTGGAGCTTTGAAAAATGAAATTTTGGGGACACAAATCAGGTTTCTGTATTTGCAGGTGTAAAATGTCCACGGACAGTGTTGTGGTTTCTGTATGCTGGAGCAATATGTGGAATTTACAATACAAATTTGGGGTTAAAATGCATAAAAAAAGAGCTGTTTCACTAAAAGGCTTTGTCACCTGCATTTCCAGGTGCTCTGCTTGCATGGAATAACATTTATTAGGGTTTGATGGGATGTTTAATATAAAGGAACTATTAATTAATCAATCCCCAATATGAGTATTAGAGCTTTATAGGAATTTGTTGCTTATCTGAGATCTGGCTGCTTTTATATCCTTTAAAAGAATAATTATTATAATGATATAATGAGCAGATGATTTATATTAAAAACCCATAGACAAGCTGAGATATGTGTAAGTACATACTGCATATTTAATTTATTTAACTAATAACAGTTATTAGTGTGTGAAGTGAAAAATGTTTCAGTCCTAAAGAGATGCAAAAATATTGCTATAGTAAGTAGAAATTGATATTATTGTGATATCATTTTTGAGCTTTATAGGAGAGTTTTGATATTTCTTTGTTCCTTTTGCCCCTTCAGGGGATGCATTTATGGGTATTTGTGTGAATATTGCTGACCCCCAGCTGTCACCTGAAGTTCTTTTGCCTCTGATTTAAGCCAGAGATGTTGAAATAAGAGAAATGATCAGAAGTTCACTTTTCTTGCCCTTTCCAGAGGAATCCCGGATGTTTCTGGAGCATCCCTGGAGCAATCAGAGCCTTCCCACATCCCTGGAAGCGCAGCCCTGAGGGGCCCAGCCCTTCCCACTCCATCCCAGCGTTCCCAGGCCGCGGGACACGCGGATCCCGGAGCCGCTTCCCAGAGCTCCCTGTCTGGGGAGGTGCTGGCCAGGGGGGACGCTGGCACCGAGCAGGAGGCACCGGGGCCCCGGAGCAGGGGACACCCAGCACAGCCAGCTCCAGAGGAGGGGCTGGGAAAGGGGCTGGAGCAGCCCTGGAGCACGGCTGGGGAGGATGGACACCCCTCTGGACACCCCTCTGGACACCCCTCTGGACACCCCTCTGGACACTCCTCTGGACACTCCTCCCAGGACAGCGATGGCCCAGCTGCTGCCTCTGAGCTGTCAGAGCGGGACAAGGAGTCCCCAGGGCAGGAGGAGGAATCCTCATCCTCAGGAAACTCCTCCTATAAAACCGCACTGACCAAATTCTCAGAGAAAAGTGAAAGGGGGACGTGGCAGGAAAAGGTAAAAGTGCTTGGGAGTGGAGTCCTGGAGAAGCAGGAAAAAGGAAAGAAAGTGCCTGAGCTTGGTTTGTTGAATAATTTCTCTGATGGCTGGAGGAAAGAGCGTTCTGGAAGGTGGGGAGCTGAGGGTGCTCCTTGTGCAGCAGCCCCTGAGGCAGGCCAGGGGCTGGGGCAGGAAGGGGGGCTGCAGCTGCCCGCTGGCCCCAGGGGCTGGGGGCTCACGGCTGCTCCCGAGGAGCTGCTCCCAGCAATCCTGAGCCAGCCCCAAGCGAGAATGGGCACAGAGGAGCCGGCTGTGCCCCCCAGCCAGCCCCAGGACACGGCTGGGGGCACCTCGGGGTGCCCTGGGCACGGCCCGGGGGGAGCAGAGCCCGCCGCAGGCAGCCATGAGCTGACCGGCTCCGAGCTCTCCATAGAGAGGGGACACAAAGTCACAGAGATCTCCCCTTCCTTCAGCCTGGGAGCTGAGGGCTCCTTCTCCCTGCACCTGGCTCGTCCCAACTTCCAGTCCACCCCTGGGCTGTTCCTGGGGAGAACCGGGAGGGCGGAGGGACGCGGAGGCCCGGCCATCCCTGCGGCCCTCCGGGCCTCTCTTTCCCGTTCAGAGGAGGAGGCCTCGGGGGAGTCCCCTGCCCCTGGAGCAGGGAAGGACGATCCTGCCCAGAGTGCAGTGGAAGAGAGCTGTGGGCATTTGGAGTCCTTGAGGCTGGAATCCCCCGGCTGTGGCAGGATGCAGTCCTGCCCGGCGCTGGGTTTCCTGGAGAAGGTGGGAGCCTGGCACGTGAGCCAGCCGCAGCACGTTCCTGACAGCTCAGGGGTCCCAGGGGCGCTTCCCCCTGCGAGGAAAGCCTCCAGCACGCTTCCCAGGGCTGCAAGCTGTATTTTAGCAGGACAGAAGAGCCCTGGGGATCCCAAGGACTGCGCTGCTCCCTCCTCCAGTGGGGCAGGTTCTCTGGGCAGCTGGCATTTCCCTCATGAAAGCCTCCTGCTCGGTCCAGCTCGGGGCAGATCCCGCTCTGACGCCTCCCTGAGCTCCTGCAGGGAGAGCAGAGCCTCAGTCAGAACCTCGGTCAGAACCAGCCCAGCCTGCAGGGAGAGCAGAACCTCGGTCAGAACCAGCCCAGCCTGCAGGGAGAGCAGAACCTCGGTCAGAACCAGCCCAGCCTGCAGGGAGAGCAGAACCTCGGTCAGAACCTCGTTCAGAACCAGCCCAGCCTGCAGTGAGGAGCCTCCAGGACACCCCAGCCCCACCGTGGGACGCTCCCAGAGCTCCTCCATGGGCTCCCTGGCACGGGGGGCTGGAGCTGGGCACGGTGACACCAGGCGAAGCTCAGCCCCAGATGTGTTTGTGTGCGGCCTTGCTCAGCTCCTTACAAAGCACGAGGATTGTGAGGAAAAGGAAAATCAGTCTTTCAACCTGAATATTCCCACTGGACACGATACCATGGAGAACTTTGGAGCCGTTTCCTTGGAGAGTTGGGATTTTCCTGTGGGTTCTGGGGAGCCTCAGGGGGCCCCGGGCTCTGGTTTGGGCTCCCTGGTGGTGCCCAGGCCCTGCCCCAGTGCAGGAGAGAACAGCTCCGTCCCCCCTGGAGCAGCGCTGCAGACTCCTGAGAAAGAAGAGTTGAATATTGAGGAAAGGATCCCGGTAAGTTCTGTTCTAATTGAACTCTGCTTCCAGAGTTACCCACTTTTCCCCAGAGTTACCCTTTTTTTTCAGTTATACTTTTTTTTTTTTCCAGAGTTTTCCATCGTTTTTCACTTTTCCATTCCAGTTCTTCCATTTTCACTTTTCCATTTCCCCCCACTGCCCTTTTAGGGGAGGATCTAATCACTACAAGGCAAAACAAATGGTTTTACCCAGGGTTGTGCTACAGTGAATTTCATCCCTGATATTGGTTCAGCTTATCTGAAACAGAGGTGGAAAAATAACCTCTGGTAATATTTAACATGGACAGGAAAGGGCTGGGGGTGGGAAAGGTGTCTTGTCTATCCCAGGGCTGTCAGGGGAGCAGCAGGAAAGGGAAGGGAGGGCTGGGGGCTCTCTCAGATCAGGCTCTCATTATCCAAGGGTGAGGCTCAGGCTCAGTGCTGAGTGAGGAGAGCTGAACTCCACCCCCAGCTCTGCACGAGGGGCAAACTCAGCTCCTTGGAAATGAAATTTCTCCTTTTCTGGGATTTTCTCGTTCTGCTCTTTCCCGTTGTTCCAGTTTCTGAGGCCTCAGTTGTGAATTCTTGATGTGTTCCTCATAAAGGACCTTCAGAGGCTCTTCACTCCCCCCTTCCCATCCCGTGTGGCTATTCCCAATTTCCTGGGGGCTGGGGGGCTGGGGGCCATGGAGAGCACTGTGCATTAATAGCAAATGAGATGCAGATTTATGGTACTGACAAACAAATTATCCTCTGAGTAAGAGGCTGCTCCTCTCACAGGATGACTCCATAATCACCAGGTCTTTGGGAATGTGCTCTGGGAGCTCTTTTCACTCCGTTGTCTTTGCAAACCCGTGGTGAAACAAATATAAATATTGGAGGGAGGGTGTTTGAAATGAAATTCATGAGACAGAGAGATGACTTCTGTTCCTGGCTATAATTACACATTCTCCAGCCTAGTTCTGAGGAATTCTGCTCCCATAAATCACTGGAAGGTAAAGGAGATCAGGTCACTTATCTGGCTGTTAATGTGGAGGTTTATAACAAAATCGTGGGAGATGGAGTTGGCTGGGATGTGTAAGGTAATTTATTTAATTTTCCTGGCTAGTTTAGGACACAGTGTGGATGAGTTGAAATCAATTTGCTCTATAGGTGATGAAGTCAAGGAAAATGATGGATTTTTTTTCCTGCATATAATACCTGTGTGTAAACCAGCTCTGATAAAAGTCCTCCCGACTGTTTGCCTGGCAGGCTTGAACAAACCTGTCCTCAAAAATGAGGAGATTCCCGGCTGCTGCCTTGAATTCCCAAGCCTGGCAGCGTTTTCTGGGCAGCTTGGGGAGGGAGAAGGTTTTTAAACCAAACCTTTGTGTTCTCCTTCCAGCTGGGAAATGGAATTTTCAGCAGGTGAGGCTGAAGCTGAGAGAGTTTCACTCCTGCAGTGCCCAGGGTCCATCCCTTCCCTAAGCCTTGGTTATTCCGTGTTTTCCAGATCTACCTGCGGAACCTGGGCATCGAGCAGTCCCCTGGCAGCATCCTGGCGCCCTTCGTGCCCCGGAGGCCCCTGTGGGAGCTGGAGTTCTCCCCCTCGGAGCTCAGGAGCCTGCAGGATCCTCTGGGCTGCCCGGCCAGGGTCCCTCCGCAAGCACAGGGTACGGGCAGGGCACAGAGCTCACCCTCGGGGCTGTCCTGGCATCCACCTTCCCCATCCCCAGCAGGAGATGTGGGCACTGGGAGTGTTCAGACCTGGGGGATCGGGGCTGTGGGCACTGCAGGGCACTGCAGGGCACTGCAGGGCACTGCAGGGCACTGCAGGGCACTGCAGGGCACGCTGGCTTTGTTCCCTGCGTTTCTCTTTTCCCAAGAGTCCTTCAGAAGGAAACGGTTCAATTCCCTTGAGATTGATGGAATGGGACTGGACCTCTCCTTCCTGGGAGAGGAATAATTCTTGGTTCCTTTTGCATTCTGGGATTTGTTCAGTGTGTTTTTATAACTGACCAGATCTGTTCCTAAATCCATCCACCCATCATCATCCTCAGCCAAGCTGGTGTGGCTTCCTAACACCCGACTGTGCCAGAGCTCCAGGAGCCTGGACACTGCTCCCAGGGCTGCACAGGGTGGGACTCTGCAGGGCCAGGGGTCGGATGGATCACCCCATCCAACTCAGGATATTCCATAATTCCTCAATAAGTTTTGTATTTTCTTTGATATTTATGTGAAGTACTCCTGAGATTTCTTTCAGGAGACAATTCTCACAGAAATCTTAGCCCAAGTCTCATCCTAAGAACATCACCTTAAATATTTTCCAGTATTTGAATTTTTCCTATCGTTTCTGTGCCCTGGAGCACAGCAGGGATGTTTCTGGAGCCTGCAGGTGACTGAGTGTTGTGTTCCTTTGCAGGTACTCTGCTGCCAGCCTTCCAGATGTCCGAGGCCGGCTTTGGCAGGGTGACATCCCCGGGGAGCGTGTCCCTTGCCGGGGGCTCTCAGGCGGTGCTGTCCCCCCGGGAGCTGTCCGGGGAGCACCCGGAGAGCCAGGGCAGCGTGCCGTGTCCCCAGCCGGGGCTGGCTGTCCCCGTGTCCCCAGCCCGGGGTGCGGAGGGTTCCCCGGGATCTGCTGGAGCGGAGCAGGCCGTGCCCAGCCGCTCCTCGGGCAGGGACAGTGCCCGGGATGAGGGGACAGGTGCTCGGGTTCCCTTTGCTGGCCGTGAGCCCGGGAGCCCGCAGGGATGGGCGGCTGGGGCTTTGTCTGGAGCTGGGAATGGAGTGGAATTAGACAGAGGGTCCCAGAGCTGCAGCGGGGGGAGTGAGAGCGGCCAGGGGTGGGGAGGAGATTCCCCGATGGGCTCCGGGGCCCTGCGGGAGCTGCTGGCACGGGCCGAGGGT